CGCCCCCGCCCCACCACAGGCCAGGGCCGAGCCTGTCAGCCACGCTGGCGGTGCCTCTGGAAAAATGTATGTAAGAAAGGGCAAAACATGGCATGGCAGTGAGGAAAAAAGTGGGAGAAACAGCCCTGTGAGCCTGAAGGTCAGTCAGGAATGGAGTGAAGTTGAGCCGCGAGAGAGAGAGAGGGGGGGGGGGGGGGGGGGGAAGGTGTTGTTTTAATTTGTCTGTGTTTCTCACTATCCAAACACATTTTAATTGGCAATAAATTAAATTAATTTTCCCCGAGACGAATCTAGTCTTCCTGTGATGGTAATTGGTAAGAGATCTCCCTGTATATTAGCTCGACCCACGAGGTTTTCCATCTTGTTTTCTCCCCCTGTCCTGTCGATGAGGGGGAGTTGTTGTCCCAAAAGCGGGGTTGGTTCACCCGCTGTGCAATGCGCCCATCGGCACACAGAGCAGAGGGATTTTATTCCATGTCTGTACTGAGATGGGTGCTAGGTGGTAGTCCAACAAAGCTTGCACACCCTTGAAAATCACACGGCAGCTTTTATACAAAGATAGAAACAAAGAAGAAACTACTCGAAAGCAAATGATTGATTACCGGTGATCGCATTCGACAAAAAAATCATCTGCCCATGTCTCATTACCTAATTACTTCATTGTACTAAGGTGGTCCTAAATTTGCACCTAAAATCTCCTCCTAGAGGTGTGTTTTTTAGCATTATAATGAGATTGTAATGAGCTAAGTTCATCTAAAGACACAATTTGGTAAGTTTCTGGACCCCAACTGTCCAAGACAGTCTTGGAGATCAGTCTCCTCTTCTTTTCTTATTGTTTTGGTTCTTCTTTATTGTATTCTGCATTCCTCAGTGGCACACTCCTCCAGTCACCAGACTTTGCATGGCTCACTGTTCTCACTCAGTGGAAAATTCTGTTTTCTATGGTATATCAGAATGAGAGGGTGGCTGGGTGGGCATCGGGCAGCCAGTCAAGGTCAACCCACCACACTGGTGCAGAAAATATGTGCTTGATCATATAAAAAAGCTTGTGGCTGAGCAGTAACATTTTCTAGCAGCAAAGGAGAATTATGATTTCCCTGCTTTTTCTACTTGCACGAGGAGGTTGCTTTCTAGAATACTCCACTTTTGATGGTGATTGCTACTGTATATTGCTCTGTGTGTCTGTGTCAAATTAGTATCAGCTGACTTGTCTTAACCACTAAACTGAAATGCATCTCCAGTTTATATCCTAGGACTTGTGGACAGTATTTTTGAAAAACAGAGAGTGTGATGTTCCAGATATTAGTCAATTGTACAGACTGGCTTTCATAAATCACACTTCAGGTTTCAGTAGAACTGTAAGAAAAAAACAGTTGGTTTTATGCAAAGCATATATTCTATTACATTTTGACTTTTTTTCCCCTTCTAGACAAACATCATGTCAATGGAAACAGAATGGTAGAGCCTTTCCCAGAGGGAACACAGATGGCTGTATTTGGTAAGACATCAGTTTTAAAATAAAAGCTCTAAGCTGTATAGTGTTACTGCATGCCAAATTTCTTAATTTCAGCGTGAGTCCTTAGAGTTTTAGAATTTGGGCTGCTATTGCCATTTTCCTAATCACTACAATCAGCTAAAGCCACTGATCATTTTGGGAGATGTCCATGCCCGAAAAGAAGTATACTAAAAGTATTTTTCTGAGTTATACAAACAGAAAATTTAAAGGCTTATTTTGTTCCATAAAAATTCCAAAATAGTAGCTTTTTCTGTCTGATAATTCCTGTAAGATCATTCATTATTTTAAACAAAATTCTGAAGATGATCCATGATTCTCCAGACCTTAAGTCATGCAAGGAACTCAAACTGCTGGGATCTACTGTACTTGCAGAGTTGTTACCATTTACATGCGCCAACCAAACTTGTTGTTTTGTACGTTACTTTGTGAATAGTCCCATAGACGTCCTGTTGGGTGCCAACAGACCTGCAAAGGAGGACATTTGTAAAAAAGAAGATGTTTAATTTCATTGTATGTGTGCTATTTTCTGTGAAAATGTCGTTCTTTGAGCCTTTTTGTAAAACATGAAAAAAGTGTTTCTCTGGAGAAATTATTTGCTTCTGGAAGAAAGAAACATCCTAAAATAGATCAGAATCACCAGTTTTTTACCAAGATACAGACTTTACCCAAATCTAGGAATCCTCAGAGCTGTCATTTCAGAATGTACTAATGTTAGTCCTTAAGGGCAAGCCTTTGGAATTTACCAGGGAAGAAAAAAGTGGATTTCTATGACAATTATTCTTAAAACTTATTGTTACAGAGAATGAATAATTTCCTAACCCCGTTTTGAACCATAAGATTGGGTTGTTTAGAAAGGATATAATTCTGTATTAACTTCTACAGGATGATAAAAAAGTGCCTTAGGAAATTTATTATATCCTATTAAATGTTTATCTATATGAGATGTTGAAGTAAATATTAAATTACTACTTGATACACCTGCTATATCATCTACCCTGGTGGAGTTCTAAATCATAATAAGTGCAGGTCAGGTATATAAAGCAGTCATCACTGGTTTTGACCTGGGCCCGTTCTAATAACTTATATATATATTTTGGCAATTGAAAGGCAATGTGTGTAACAACAAATGTGTAAAAATGAAGGATGTACCCTGGAAAGCAGTGATTCTGAGAAGCAATGCTATATAAATGCCCAGTATGATGAAACAAAAGGAATAAATGCAGCCTTCAGATAGGAAATAAAAGGTATAGTGAGTAGGCATTAGCAGGCAATTTTACACCTGCACACAATGTTTCTGAGTCAGGTCCTAAAATACATTTCACATTCTATTGAGTAATTAGACCGAATTTATTAACACGTGAAATAAGTGAAACACTGAAGCAAACTTTCAAAGCAACCAAGAGAATCTGCATATCATCCTATCTTCGGATACGGACTGGGATAGTTAGCAGAGTGCCTAACCAGAGGTTTCAGATGTCTTAGGCTCACCAGGCTGCCAGCTGCCAAACCAGAAGGATGGAGGTCTCCCGTGGTCCTGTGATGTGGGTATCTCAGTAGTCCTAGGGCACCCAGAATGAACCTCAACACTTGTGTCAGGCACCCCATTCACCCCAGATGCTTCCTGAGGTTATGCATCAATAGAAAACACATTATTGATCTCTGTAAAGGCAAAAGTAGTAGAAATTATTTTCGCTGCATGGCACAGTAGATCACATTGGATAATCTGATCATCCCTACTGATGTTAAAGATCATGAATCTGTTTTACAGGAGAAAGTAGCCTATGTCAATATGGCATTTTCTCAATCATTGAGGTTACCGATGGTGATCTGGTCTGATCTATAAAAACACAAGATGTAGCATAAATGTTTCAGAAACGTGAGCAGTGTCTGGAAGTTCTTATGTAGTAACAGTTTACATTTCTGTCTGGACTGAAGTGTTGATCTTAATCAGTTTCAAACAGAGCTGTATTCACATCTGCAATATTTAGCGATCCTATGTGGAATGCAAAGGGCTAAGTTATCCGTGGGCACTGAATTTATTACACCAAAAATATCTTTTGAATCGATAACTGCAAAAAATCATAGTAAGCATTAACTTTCCTGTGGAGCTAATGTTTCTGTAGTTGCCATGACTGAAGAGGAGAAATGGTTTATGGGTGTCAGCCTTCAGTTATTGTTGTGATTTCTTCAATTTCTCTTTAGAGTTCCTCTAATCCGGTATTGTCTCTCTGCCAGTATTCCTTTGTCTGTGGGTTTTGAGAACATAAAAAAATTCTTGGAGCAGTGGAATGAGAGATTGTTTGGTAATTTTTTTGGAGCTAATGGAAAATGATTGTATGTTACCTTTAGAGTTTTAAGGTTAAGACGGGTGTAGAGATTCTTTGAATTTCTTACAGCAGACAGGCGGAGAGTGTCCTGCTACAATCTGATATTGATGCAGTCTTCACTGTTTAAATTTTTTGAAAGCTCCTCCTTTATTTTCTGTGTGGTGGTCAGGTCAGTTTTCCAGTGGATGTGGTGGATGTTGGTGTGAGTGCTTCTGTTGGTTATATCACTCTTAATTGTACACACTTTGTAAAATTGCATAGAAAGTAATAAACTACCTACAGAATTTAATTGGAAGAGAGCAAAATCTTGTTAAAAAGCCTACTTTGAATCATTCCTGAGGAACTCTGTTATCTTTACATCAAGCCTGGTAACTTTCATCATCTTTTAAATTGCCCTAGATTTTCTACAAGATTGTGATTGCAATTGTTGGGCTAGGTGGTGAAAACTCATGCTGCTGCCATCTGTGCTGTGAATAAATGGAAAACCTACATGTTCTTAGGTTTACTATTAGACCTGGAATATAATAGTATACAAACATGACTCTGATGATAATTGTTGTCGTTTGTTGGCATTGGCATCCCATTCTGATGTGTGGTATAGAAAAATGGAGCTACAGTTCAATTTTGCTACCTCTAAGGGGGCAGCATTTCCTGGCCCCATGTGAATGGGAATGAGAGGAAGCACTCAAGAAAACCATTATTTGTTAGTAATTCTCCTCAGATTCTTACTCATCCTATCCATGTGTACCTCTGTTAACAGCAAGTTCTTTGTATTGTAGGACTCTGTAAGCCAGGGGGAAGAAACTGAGCTAGTCTGAGCTAGTAGACTTTCTGACTCCACCTTAACGAGAGAGAGCTTCTCACACCTCTTCTCCAGAAATGTCCTTTAATCCTTTAACTGGGATTGCACAGGGACAAATCTTGAAGAACAGTAGTTACTAAAAAGTAATCCCTCTTCCTTAAAAAGACCTACAAAAGCTAAAAGATGGTAAATAACCATATGATTTTGTAGATATAGCCTACTTGCAGTGAATTTTCCTACTGCTTGGATAGTTTTAGATTCACCACTAAAAATAACAGTATAAAATGTAATACTGTGTTGTAAACACTAATCCTTTTACCTGCTTGCGAAATGCAGTTAGATTGCATTGCATAGATCCATCTTCTGCAAAACCTCCTTCAAGATGCTCTTACTAATGCTGCATTATTTACTTTATGATACAACTTCTTGTTTTGATCAAGGTACAGGGTGAATGTACACGGGTCATTGTTCCTGCAGCTTTCCCATTTATAACAGAACCTCACAGTTTTCAAAAGAATATTTAAATGATCTTGAGATTCTCCAGTTGTCTGTTTAGCATCATTCAGCTGCCTAAGATGCATCCGTTGTTCATTAGAATAAAGAAATGTGTCCTTGTTTCTACAACGGTGAAAAAGCTAGATTTCAAGGGTGAGGGTGACTCTTTAATGGAAATCTTTTAACGCTAACCATCCAGTGACCTCTTAATCCAGTTTCCAGCTAATATTGAAGCACTAAGAGCACAGGAGGTGCACAGGCACTGCTGACAGCCTCGCTGGAGACACTGTAGAATGCTAGATCAAAATTTGTGTCCCTTGAAGTCCCCCCCCAAGTTCAGTAACTGAAACAGATGAAACACTAGATGTTATGTGTTTGTGTTATGGATGGTAAAGTAGAAACTATAATAAATCCCTGCCCAGAAAGTTTTCTTGTCATTTTTAAGGCCATAGAAATTTTCAATTAAAAGTATTTTGCCTGTAGTGACTGATTTTGACCAAAAACCTAACCAAAAGTCAAAACCTGAACATAATATTAGGGAGTTGATAATATTTTGAAAAGAAGCAATTTAGGGTCTGAATTCAACTTTTGGATAGAGGTGTAAAAAGCAAAATGAAATGCTTCAAAGCTGCAGAACCTATGCAACTTTCAATAAATTAATATTTCCATCAGTACCATTGTAATTCTTTGCATATTTTAAACACATTTAAATACACTGCTTTATTATGCTTAGAAATATTTCTGGACAACTTTTCTGAATTTTAAGTGCATATTTTTCTTATCAAAATCTGCTGTTGCAAGACTCCGGTTTATCCCTATGTATTGACTGTGCTTTATATGCTACCTTATTGCTCTAAGAGGAAGCACTGTGCATATGGTGCATTCGTAGAAGGGTTCTTATTTACTTTCAGTAAAATCTGGCAATATTTCAGATTTGTAATTATAACACTTTTAAAATATGGGAGTAAATTGTGTTGTATTTGCTTGACATATACTGGCTAGTAATGGGATAATTGGTTTCTTGATATAAACAAAATATAGACAGAAGTAGGATGTTAAGGAACTGATAAGATCTAATTACAGACATTTCTGAGTTGGCAGACAGATCCAAGCTTGTTCACCTTCTGCTCTGCACTTATTAGAGAGCAGCATGTTCCAGTAATTCTACAGAGCCATATTATTGTTGTACTTTGCCTGAGTTATTATGTCCTATTGAGATTCAGAGGTACCCTATGCATTCCCACAATTCCCGCTGCTTCCAAAGGTTATTTAAAAGCTAACATAAGATTACACCAAGATTGCCCAATTAGTCCAGGCAGAGCCCGGGGTTTCTCAGCCTTTGCATGTGGCCTGTTCAG